TGTTCTGTAAACTTGGAGCAATACAACCCCAATCTGCTCCATTTCCACTCCTCTACAGGGTGATTTCAACAGTCCTGGAGCTGAGCAATTATCGGGGTGAGTACAGCAAAGCCAGTGCAGGCAGACTCTGAACTGCACCATCTCGTGCAGGTTCTGCCCTGAGCGGTTTGCAGGAGCTCTGCCTGGGCCTCCTTGTTCTTGTTTTGCCTTTTTGGTTTGTTTATTCACTCTTTCAGAGCTGCTCCTCAGACATGCAGCTCTTCTAACCTCGGGGCTGTAGGAGGGTGTCTCTGCAGCCTTTCTGCACATCCTGGAAGCTGCTGCCCAGCTTTTTTAAGTGCTAAATCTGATCCTGCTCTGATTTGTTAAAAGAGTCAAATGTCTAATTAGAGATCTCAGCAGGACTTGTGTACACTGAAATCTCTTAGATATTTTTCCCTTTTTTGCCTTTCTTTAAGGAAAATGTCTTTTGCAGGCAGGTGCTCAGTGGGAAGAAGCTGTTCCAGCCCAGAAGCTGAGTTAGGATGGTGCTGAGTCCAAGCTAATATATCCCAAGGGATTTTTATTTCAACACCAGTGATGCTTCACAGGTTCTGAGTGTGCCTCCAGCCCCAATCAAAGGTTACAGATACCCAGAATTTTTGGGAGATACATCCAGATTTTAAGAGTTCTCTTCTGCAAGTCTCCCACTGTCTACAAATGAACTGTAAATGGAGCATCTAAAATGCTTGAGTGCCCCAAAATAAGCACAACAACCTCTTATTTTGACTTCCTGTAGATTTTATCGGGGCCATTAGTGTTGGAAAAAGATCAGACTGTAACTTTGTAGTTGTATTGTTTGAAGAGATGAGAAGGGCTTCCTTTTCTTATATTTAAGCAACTGCTTCATCCCTGTTAGCATTTAAAAAACTCTTGTAGCTTGACAAGTACTGTTTAGATGCTTCTAAATTCCCATGTCCTTCAATGAAACCAAAGAAACCTTTGGTATTTTATCTCATTGTGTTGAGCTGGTCATGAATGGTTATGGAAAGGTTATAAATCCATTGGCAGCCTGCCGTGACATGGATTTTCCTGCATGATTTCAAAACCACTGTATAATTAGAGCCCCTCAGAGCTGCAGCTTGGCAATGGTGAATAAACTCCTGTGCTGCCCCTCCTCACATCCCAGGGCTCTTGCAAAGGGGCATGTCCCCACTTGTGGCTCTTTCCCATCATTTCTCTGTGGGTTTTTCCCTCATTTTGGAGCTCTGTGCTCCCTGTTTGCTCAAGCAGCAGCGCAGCATTGCCCTGATTGTTTTGACAAGAGCTCTGCACAACAGCGAGGAGACGGACCCGATGTTGTGCTAATTTGGATCCCTTTTTCACTGGAGCTGCAGCAGCAGCTGCTTGATGCTCCAGGTCACCTCACACACTTCTCCCTGCTTTTAGAACCATCCCCACGGCTGCAGAGGCACTTGGAGAGCAGCAAAAAGCAGCTACTTAGGACTGGAAGTGGGAAGTCCTTCCAAGGGGAAAAGTGTTAGTTCAGGGTAAAACATTTTGACATAAGGTTGGAATAATAGTCCAGTAATTCTCAGCCAACTTTTGTGGTCCAGCAGGATTTCACTGAAGCTTAGTCAGTCATATTGCTAAGAAGGGGAAAAGTTGTAACTTGAAGCAAGAACCACGTGGATGCTGGAAATGTGGATTTCTCAGCTGACAGCAGCTCATGTTCTGAGCTGTGGAGTTGTTATTAATCACTCCCTGTTCATCTGTACCTTCACAAGAATGTTGGTTGTAGATGTGCAAAGTACCAGAAGGTGCGGAAGTTTGCCTGTGGCACCTAGAAGAGATGCATTTCTCTTGACTCCCCAGATAAAAAAGGTAAATTTTCATCCTACGGACACTTGCCACTTTGCTGAGATTTTATTTCTAGATAATAATGAGGTTTTTCTGTTTCTACAGTTGTGAAGTGTGGATTGTTTCTTATGAGCAAATATTCCTGTGACCTGAGGCAGGTGGAAAAATCTTTCAGCTGGGGTGGGAAAATGGGCATAGAACACCCCTCAATCAGAAAACAAGCTGCTTTTTAGGCTTCATTATGGCAAGATGTGGTTCATGCTGCACTAACTTGCTAATTGCAGATTAACTTGCAAAGATCACTGGTGGTGAGTGGCTGAACTCTGGCTCCAGTTCTGCCCCTGACTCACAAACCTGATGTGTTTCCATCAAACATGGCTGTAAAGGAGTTCCCCCCTCTCCATCCTTGTTGCCCCACTCAGGGCAGTTCTCCTGGACACTGACCCCCCCCCCCGAGGAATCATGGAGATTTCTGCAGTGTCATTGTTCGACATGGAATGCCAGGCATGTGCATTTCCTGGAGCTTCTTCAGTGTGTCACGGATTTAAAGTGCAAATTTGCATCTTCAGAACTAGTCCCAATGAGTTGGTGATTTTTTTGATTCCTCCCACAGCTGCTATGATTCCTGTTTTGGGGTTTTTTTTATGATTTGGGGAGGCTAATTTAAAATATTCTCTGACAAAGAACTTCAGAATCACCAAAGGATGGAATGGTTTGGGTTGGGAGGGACCTTAATGCCCATCTCATTCCATCCCCTGCCATGGGCAGGGACACCTCCCACTATTCCAGGCTGCTCCAACCTGGCCTTGGACCCTTACAGGGATAGGGCATCTACAGCTTCAAGGTAAATAATACCTTAATTAGCATTTAATTTGTTAAGGAAACCTTAATTTTTTAATTTTTTAATCTGCCCCTACAGTTGATTCACCCAAATTTATAAAGTTTGGGCAGCAAATACAAGGAAACACTTGGTAAAAACCCACCTGTCACTTGATGGGTTGGATGGGTTGGGACATGTGGGGTACAAGTTGGTGGCTTAGTTGAATTGCAACCCTGGTTTGTGGTAGGTTATTGTTTATAGCACAGATTTATTAAAAATTGCAATTCTTCTGCTTTAATTTCATTGTTCACATCTTTATTCCGTGTGTTGCTTTCCAGGCTGGAGTGTTTGGGCTGTCTGGTTTCACTGGTTCTCTGGAGTGTGGTCTCTCCTTTAATTGGCTGCTTCTCCAGTGTTTCTTTAACATAAAATTGGAGACCACTGAGGAGGGGAGAAAACTGTTCAGAGAAACTTCAGCTGAACTTCCCAGCACTGCAGGTTTTACACATGTCCCTTCTCTGATCTCAAACGTGCAGAATGTCAGAGTAAAGGAATATCAGTTCCCTTTCCAAGAATGACAGTTCTCCAAACCCAGTGTCACTTCTTGTGCATTTAATGGGGTTTTGGTTCCACTCTACTGTTACCCCAGGGTGGAGCTGAGCACTTGGAGAGCCCCATCTCAGGAACTCTTCCTTGCTGATGGTTGTCCCTATATCCAGGTTTGGGTTGGGGTTTGGGGGGGAGACAGTGGAGGTAAAAAGCTCTTGGGAAGCAGGGAGTGGATGGAGAGAAACAAATGAGAGGAGCTGCTTGAACTGGCACTGATGCCTCAAAAAATTGGGTGTAATTGCTGCTTGTGCAGAGCTGTGCTTGTAAATCTGTCAGCACCTGGTGAGGGCTGTGTGGGTTTTACAGTCCCAAATTTGAGCCTGTCTTGTTTTCTGTCTGGTTTGATGTGTGTAAGTCGCTGTAAAAGTACAGTTTCCATTCCTCCTGTTGAACTGGATTATTTCCTGGTTTCTTTCCCGTCTCTTAGAAAATTTTAAGTTATTTCTCAATCCAGGTGGAACTGCCTATACGGTCTCCACTTGTCTGTGGTTTATATTAATGGGGAGATGATTGAAATATTTGCTCAGCAATTAAAAGGCATTAGTAGCTTCAGGGAAATAGATGAATTGAGTTTTGCTGGACTGTAATTTTTGGTTTAGTGCTTTTCTGAGGTGTTTAAGAAGGATTTCTGTTTGCAGAAGGTTGTAGTTGGGGTGACTTGGGTATTTAAAACAGAATTAAGAGTCCAAAGTGTTTGGATTCTGCCTGGAATGGTGGTAACTCCATAAATAACAGCACAGATGCAGCTCAGGGCTGTTGGAGGATCAGCAAGAGTTAAAGAACAAGCTGGAGAGAATGAGGGAAGGGACCAAATCCCAAGTGGGAGCCTGGCATGATGTATTGGGGGATGGAAAACGGAAAGAGATGCATAAACCACTTTGACTGTAAAAAATTCAAATTCAGAACAGAATGTTGGTGTGTTTTAGTGGTGGTTTTCTGTGCCAAGGAAACCCATATGGATGTGCAGTGGGATTTTTCAGTTGTATCTGAAATGACAAGTTCTATCCTCATTGTATTGCAGGAAACTCAAGGATATGTCAAAATGCAACGTAAACTTAATTTACAGCCTTAAATTAAGCACAGCCACAGCACTTTTAGGTGATCTGAGTTTGTGTCTGAATAATAAAATTCTTATTTCCTTATTTCTTTTGTGGTTCTGTAATCATGCTTCTCTTGGCCAGAAACAAAGAGAAGATTACAGTATTTCTAATGTTAAGTGTCAACGAAGGCAAGATTTTTTCCAAGAATTCTTTGCACAGGATGCAAATAATAAAGAGCCACATCAACCCTTTTGTGCAGTTCACATCACACAGGTGTTTTTATCCCATAAAATAGCCTATCTGGTTTCTGTCCTTTAGGTTTAGAAGTTCTCTGTGTGTTACAAGTGTCTTTATTCTTACAGTGCACTCTTGGCTAAATGGAAGTTGGTGTTTCTGGGTCACCTGATGCTTTCAGTGAGAACAACTTCTTGTGTTAATTTTCAAATAAATTCACGTGTAGAAAACACTTTGTTACATCAGGCAGCTAATTCTGGCTTTGGAGTTGAGTTTTTAAATGAAACCTTGGTACCTTTATGAAAATAAAGCATCACATTGATTTCATTTTGAAGAACACAGCAAACATGAGGTGCTATTTCTCAAAGGAAGTAACTTTGTGTTTATATGTGAATTCTGTTGGATATTGTTGAGGAAGTTTGATTTTTCTCTAACACAAACATCCTGGTTTTTTGTAGGGCGCCAATGCCTCTGCTTTGGAGAAAGAGATTGGTCCTGAGCAGTTCCCTGTGAATGAGCATTATTTTGGCTTGGTCAATGTAAGTGAAATTCCTACGGTTGAAAAGCTCTTTTTTAATTCATATCCTAATTTGGAATTTAACAGGCTTGTCTGTGAGAACTTTATTGATGGGCACTTCTCACTTAGGGTGGGACTGTGCACAGACACCACATCCTGCAATATGGTGCTGGGCCTTGGGATTAACCAAGACAAAATTACATTTGAAGTACAGAATATTTCTTATAAAGCCTTGGAGAGAATCCTTCCTCCTCTGGTCCATTTCTGCTTATAAGACTTGACTATTTAGCTGGAAAGTGTGAACTGATGAAGCGTGTGCGTTGTTGCGTGCTGCTGCAGAGAGCAGAGGTGTGGTGTGACCCTGGTGCTGCGGGAGTGCAGGGTGTCAGTGGAGAGGTGTCGGCCCGGAGCACGTCCCTGCTGGAGCAGCGGGAGCTCCTTTGTGCAGCACGGCCGTTCACCCGGGCAGGAATTTACTTCTGATTTTCTCCCAGCCCCGTGTAACTGTGAGTCCCTCCGAAAAGCCATGCTTTTGTCTCTGCCAGTTTGTGTGGGTGTGCCTGGGCTGGGATCTGCTGGGCAGCAGGACTTGTCTGCCCAAACTAACTGTGGAGAGTGTGGGTGTTGATCCGGAGCAGCACATCCTGCTGGGCCTGTGACCCCTTTTACCAGGGAATAAAGGGAGTTAGTTCATAAAAACGGTGGTTCTGTGCTATCCTATTTGTGATGGGAAAATCCCAATTTGGCACAACCCACTAGAAACAGGGATATTTCTGTTTGCTGCTGGGCTGGGTGTGTTTTGCTGAAAGCTGAAAGATGCTCAATCTCATCACACACCAAATAAGGGCAGTGTAGCTCCTAAGTGGTATTAATTGCAGCTCATTAGAAACCCATTTAATTGGCTTGTGGGTGGGTTTGGAGCAGTTTGCATTTGCAGACACCCAGATATCCAAACACATGGAATTCTGCTCCTTAAGGATGGTGTTAATGGCCATTCCAAAGCTGCTGAGGTTTGCTCCAGGAGGAGAAAAATGGAAGGCATGTCCCATTGTAACATAAATAGCAGGGTGTTGAATAGTGTGAGGAGGGAAAATAGCACCCTAAAAATACCCAGAATTACTATAACCACGGCTATTCTCTGATTTGAAGGACAAAATATGACTAATTCGGTTGTGCTCCTCACACTCGGGTTCTTCAGGGGGAGCATTTCCATGCCATTGTTCTGCTGAGCTTTTTCCTGAGCTATTTCCAGTTCTTTCATGATTCTGAGCTAATTGCAGCATTTTAAAGAGTCTCATGGCTTCAGCATCAGTGCTCTTGAACTGCAGATAGAGTCAGGTGTGGGACTCGGGGACAATGGAGGCTTCCAAATTTGATTTTAATAGTTATTTTCCTTTTGGGTCAGTGAGCTGAACCAGCCTGGCTGCAGTTAAACTGTAGCTAAAGCCACTGCAGGGGATGTGGGAGAAGGGACAGCCTGTTGGAATAATTTCTATGTAATGAAGTGCAAGAGAGGGGGAACAATGTTGTCATTCCAGAATTTCATCTCTGTTTCATTTTAAGAACCCTCTATCTTAAAATAAGCTTTCAAACTTTATTTTTACATTGCACAAGTTCTTGGGCAGTTAGGTAATACTGACTCTAAATACAGGCAGTTTTAAGCAAAACCCCCCATGCTTTGGCATCTATTTACAATATTTATTTGTACCAGAGAAACCATGACCAAAAGCTTTTAAAATCTTTGTGTTTGTTCCTTTTTTTTTCATTTGTGTTTTAGGTCACATTAGACTTTACACACCATTGCTGTGTGTGATCTGTGCATGTGGCCCCAGGTTTGGAAATATCCATCAGCCCACTTGGAACTGCCTTGAAAACCTGGGGTTTGGGGCTCTGTTAAACTGTTACAGCCCTTTCTTTTTTTCCCAGCCAGAATTTCTGACAAAGTTCAGGTCATGGTTGGAAAGATCTGATTGCTTTATATTTCTAAACACAAACTAGTTGTAGTTTAAGTGTGACACTGCTGGGTAATAGTGGTCATTTTTGGAGGACTCTCTGTAATACAGAGAGGGGGAGATCAATAATTGAGATATTCAGAAGTTTCCCAAGGCCCTGAAGTGCTCAGAGTTGGAAGGATTTTGTTCCAACATGAAAAAAGTCAGATTTGCTGGAATAAAATGCATCACTTGGTCTTGTTGTAAAGTACTTGGCAAGTTGTAAAATATCTGAAATGTTCAAGGAATAAAAGTTCTCCCACATTACTCTCTGTAAAGGTGGTAGGAAAGAGAAAATACTCCTTAGAAGGACATTTTAAAACCTAAATCATGCTGTGAAGTGAATTTTTCACCATATCACTTGGACTACTGTAAAACATCTTACTGGCAGGAATTTTTAAAACTGTTTGGATGGAATTTTAGTTCTTTAACTCCTCTAACTCTTCCCTTTAGTTTAGTTCTAACGATTTCTCTCCTGTGGGCAGCACCAAAGCAGAACATGTATAACCAGTTGAATTCATGCTTTTAGACATGACTTCTCCCTGAATACAGCCCTGAAATCTGTTTTAACTCCTTGCATTGTAAACTTTTTTGACTTAAGATGCACCATCTTTTTTAAGATGCTCATTTCTTGTTCTGTCTCTTAATTTCCTGAGGTGATTATGGACAGATATAGCAAATACCTCACCTGAAAACAATAATATGTAATCAGACTTCTAGTAGTTTTGCCTGCATTGATATTCTTTTATGTTTTATGCAAATGTATTTAGCAAATTTAATTAGCATGACACTTATTTTTCTGGGTTGCTGACAACCATGTGAGTGAGGCTCTATCCTAATTCCTGTGTTTGCTCAGCTTGCATATTTATTTCCTCATGTCAATAAGTTGTAACTGTTGCTTCATGTGGTATAAATGCCTGTTAATGTAACTCTAACCTGTAACCTTTCCAGCTGTATGAATTCAACTGCTTTGCTCAGCAAAGTGATTATTGACATCATTCTGCTGCAGGAACCACAACAAAGTTTTGGGAGCACTGGCTGGATCTCTGAGTACCAAAACAGTCTGTGCTCTGGAGTCACATTTGTGTGCTTTTTTGGTTTATTTAAACTATTTTGCTATCATTTCTGGTTTATTTCAAGTGTTTTTGCTCTCATGCTCTTGAGATGCACAGTCTCTTTACCAGAGTGCCTGGGGACTGGCAGAGCCAGGGCCGGGTTCGGTCCTTCGGAGCCCCAGCGTTGGACGGGAGCTGGACAATAACGTGCAGAGGAGCAGCTCCAAGCCCATGGTTTCGGGTGATAGGGTGATATCTCCCTGTGCCTCCTTCCCCAGCCCTGCAGCCGCCTCTGGAAGTGGTTATCTCAGGGGTGACACTGCCCTCAGACAGGGCAGGTGGGAAACAGCTGCTCTGTATTTCCTGGCTCAAAACAGTCCCTTATAGGCAGGAAATACTTATTTATTATATTGTTAGTCGATAAGATATGGCATTATTTATTTATTTCATTCTGTGTCCTTGGCACCCCTCCACAGCAGGATCTCCCTTCTCAGGATGAGCAGTGCTGTGTCTCCAGAACTTGGGATTTTGGGATGAGCCCTTAGCTACTTTTTGTGTGTATTCCCAATATCCCTGTGACTGTTGTCTTCTCTTACCAGCTGATAGAAGGCTCAGTCTTTCTCACCATCCCAATAAATGTACTCTGCCAAACAACTTCTCCAGTCTCACTCTGTGCTGTTCTTAATGAGCCACCTCTGTTATTCCTTTTTAACAGACCTGCTACAAATCTATTTATTCTCCTCTGTTCTGTTTTGACCAGTTTGGCAACACCTGCTACTGCAACTCAGTCTTACAGGCACTTTATTTTTGTCGTCCATTTCGGGAAAAAGTGTTGGCATACAAAGTGCAGCCTCGGAAGAAGGAAAGCCTCCTGACCTGCCTCTCTGATCTCTTCAACAGTATTGCCACCCAAAAGAAGAAGGTGGGGGTCATCCCACCCAAGAAATTCATTTCCCGGCTGAGGAAAGAAAATGGTAAATGAATAAATAAATGGTTTTTAAGGTGTGTAAAATGTAAACATGACTCCCTTTTTGAGTCGAGGTTGAAGAGGTTTCTCGTAGGTTTTGCGGTGGAAATTTCACCTCCTGTGGGGTTGTCCCAGCACTGTGCTTGTCCTGCAGGGATTCTCTCCATGTCGTTGTTCCTGGGCTTGCTTGGGCCGTGCCCATGTGCCAGCATTCCAGTTATCCCCCCCGGCATGGTGTTCCCTGGAGCTGTGCTGCAGTCAGCACGCCCCAGGTCACTGCTCCAGCCTGGCCTGGGCTAAACTGGCGTCATGGACCCGGCCCAAGCTGAACTCTGAGGAGATGCAGCACTCGCAGGCTGCTCTTCCATTTGTGGCAGGAGAAATCCCTCAGGATGAGAACTAGTGGTTGTTTCCCAGGGCTGCTTGGTGAGGAAAAGTTCTGGATGTTGATTTATTATCTCTGCTTGAACTTGCAAAGATAACAAACTTACAGTGGGGGATTTTTGCCCCTTGATGGTGGACTTAATGAACTGCTGGCCAAGGGCAACACGTCTGAATTTCTTCATGTCTCTCCCTCCCCGAAGGAAAGGAAAAAAACTACAAAAACCCCCCAAACTCCAAGCTAATAATTTGCTTCAGTTCTGAGAAATGTCCAAACTAAGTTTCCTTAATGCTATTTTTCAGCTGTTTGTTTGTTGCAACCTGAGGATAAACCAAAAACCCTTTGTAAGAACAACAAAGTGCAGTTCTTCCAAACCTTCTCAATGCCCCCCCAGTTGTGTGAGAGGGGAGAGCAGGGGCAGGGCGTGCCCTGATGGCCGAAAGCATTTTGCCTTGGCATTATGAAGGAGCTGTATTTTTTCATTCTCCTTGATCTCTTCCGTTCCAGAATTATTTGACAATTATATGCAGCAGGATGCACATGAATTCCTAAACTACCTACTCAACACTATTGCTGACTTACTCCAAGAGGAGAAGAAGCAGGAGAAGCAGAACGGGAAACTGCAGAATGGCAGCATTGAGAGCGAGGAGGGGGACAAGGCTGATCTGACGTGGGTCCATGAAATCTTCCAAGGAACACTAACCAATGAAACCAGATGTCTGAACTGTGAGGCTGTACGTTCAACCCCAAACCTCTTAGAGCTTCCCAGGTTCTGGAGCCTTTTCCCTAACGCTAAGCACCCTTTTTCATTTATTAGGGTAGATGAAATTGCACTCTCTCTATTAAAATATGGAGCATAGCCTATGTTAGGAGTGTGTCACCTCTGTGTTCAATACTCCTGAAGGTATGTTGCTCAGCAAAGCGTAGTGTTTTCCCTGTTCTCTTCCCTGTTCCCAGCCAGGCAGTCTCCACCTGGCTCATCCAAGCTGCCTTTTTGTCTCCTTGTTCTTTTCTGTGTCAGTGGTTGATAGTTTATGTTGTGTTTCTCCATGAGAGTTGCTCCCTCTTTATTTGACTCTGGGATGAACTGAGTTGCTGTTGGAATTCTTGGTGCTGGTCTGTGGGCACTCTGTTTGAGAGCAAAAGAAGTGCCATGAAATCTAGAATTAGAACCACACCACCTTCAGATCAGGAATTTGTAGTTAGTCATCTGCTCTCATTTAATAGTTCTAAAAAAATGAAAAACCCAGATGGGGAGAGGGAAAAAAAAGCAGAAGTGATTACAACAGAAAGGACCGTTCTTGGCATTTTAAATCTAAAGTTTTGGCTCTGTGGTGAAGAGAAGCTCTAAAAATGACATTAATAGGGTTCTGTCTCAAGGATTTTGAAATGAAAAGTGACTGTTCCACAAATGGAAAGATGGTTTCCCTCCCTGCTAACCCATTTAATTGAGGAGCCATCTGCCTGTTTCTGCCTTCCCTCTAAGTATTGACTGTTCCACTCTGAAGTGCAGCAAAAAGCTGTCCCAGTCTGCAGAGCAGAGTGGAATGTGGGGAAAGCTTCTCTGAGCAGTTAAAAACTTGGTTTTACCAGTGAAATAATCAGATGTGTCTTGAAGCCTCAAGGGGGAGAGATGTTTTCTAAGAAAGGGTTTGCGGTTTGATTTTTTTGATGCCTTTTTTCCATGGGTTTTGGGGGTTGGCTTGTTATTGATTTTTTTTTTTTTAATATTCCTCTTTGTTTTTTAACAACACATCAGGTTATTTCTGCAGTTTCAGTTTACCTCAGGAAAGGACCTGTGTGTGTGTGTGCATACATCTTTTCTATCATTGAGGACATTGCACCATCCCAGAGATGGTTAAAAGAAACCTGCCAGTTCTAAACTGCTGTCAAATACCTCTTCTCCTTTTTTTTAAGGTTAGTAGCAAAGATGAGGACTTTCTGGATCTCTCGGTTGATGTGGAACAAAATACATCAATTACACATTGTCTAAGGTAAACGGGATTATTTGGGAATGGGAAAAACTCCTGCCCTTGGTCAGGAGGAAATGGCCTGGTTTAGTTGCTCTATATGGTAAAATATTTTGGGTTTTTAGTGGGTTTTAGTAGCTAAGGAGCACTAGTGGTATGTAAGATTGATTTTCACTTTATTTTGTGGGCATTTGAATTTGCTACATCACACAGTCAAGTTTTATCAAAGCTAAACATGCTGTGTTTGGTTTCATCATCAATTCTTGATTATTTTAATATTGTTCCTGCCTTTCAGTTGCCTGCTCCTCGTGTTTAGGGGGAGGTTTGTTTTTGCTGATAGACATTTGCTCCATGTGTTTGTCCGTTACATCCAAGGCTTATCAGCTGCTTGGATACTGCATCCAGCATCTGCTATTTAATAGCTGATAATGGCTGTGGAACTGCTGGGAGCTGGAAGATAATCCAGACTCGGGCTGGTTAATGGCTGTAGATCTGGACAGTTCATTTCTGCCACCAGAGAAAACATGGAATGGCTGCTGAAGGCAACAAAACTCAGTCACCTTATTGCAGTTTCTTAACCTTTCCTACTCAGAAAACAGGCAGTTAATACCCGAGGGGGTGATTTCCAGATTTTTCCAGCTGAACATCCCAGGACAAACACACCTAAAATGGGTTTATGAGCAATGAGAATAAAAGGAGCTTCATCTTCCATGTGTCGTTTGGGTTTTTTCAGCATTATCAGCAGTAACTTTTACCTGGATGGCCTGGAATATTCCTGCTCATCCCACTCCTCTCTCCTGTCCACAGGGGATTTAGTAACACTGAGACTCTCTGCAGTGAATATAAATACTATTGTGAGCAGTGCCGCAGCAAACAGGAGGCACAGAAGAGGTAAGGAAGGGGCAAATACGCAGCCTAAGAGGAGATGTTCTCTTAAAATGGGCAGTTGGTGGATAAATGCACCTTGTGAAGTCAGTAAAAGGACCAGGTAAGGTTGTTTAGGTCTGTGTTTGGTGGGGAAGGGAGTAAGGAAAAGAGGAGAGACCAAGTAACTTTGTGGCGACCTCGTCAGAGGAATAAAGAGATTAATTTTGTGTGTCTCCCAGAAGAGTTTATATCTGGTGCTTCCAGACATTCACATTTTCCCCAGTTAGGATTAATCAGCTTAGAGCCCCTGCAAACCATCCCATCTGCTTTGTCTGTGAGCACTGGATAGAAAAAAATCTCATTTCTCACCTCACACTTGGTCACAGCCAGAGCAGCAAGACAGATTTATTGCATCTCTTTCTTCCCATTGATGTGATGAAAAATTGATGTTTTCAACATAGCCAGTTGTCCTGCATTCAGGTGTCAGTTGTGTAGTTAATAATTCAGAGTAGATGTTGCACGAGTGAGGAAAAGCAGCATTTTGAAAAGCCGAGCAATATTTTTTTAAGGAGCTCCCTCCTGGTGAAGCTGCTGTGGAGCCCAGCTCTGTGGCAGGTCCCTGCTAACTCCCTGTGCTCTGTTGGCCACGCTGTGGTGGTGCAGGATGAGGGTGAAGAAGCTGCCCATGATCCTGGCTCTGCACCTGAAGAGGTTCAAGTACATGGACCAGCTGCACCGCTACACCAAGCTGTCCTACCGCGTGGTGTTCCCCCTGGAGCTGCGGCTCTTCAACACCTCGGGGGACGCCACCAACCCCGACAGGATGTACGACCTGGTGGCCGTGGTGGTGCACTGTGGCAGGTGGGTTGTGCTTCCTGCCCCGGGAACGCCTGGCCTTGGAGTTTAAAAGGAGTCCGTCCCCCCCCAGCATCATTTAACAACAGCTGTTTGCAGTACAGGAACAGGCAAAGCGGGGTCTGAAAATAGCTTTATTTTTAAAAAGTTTTCTGTCTTTTTCACTACTTTTTTACCGGTTGAAATTTTAATTTCTGAGTCTCGGGTTTGGCACTTTATCAGCTTTCAAATATGGTGGCAATTCCGACCAGGATTATTGATAAACAAACTCTCCCAGAGTGGTGTTCTTTGTTGTTTCTGTGCTCTTACTTTGCTACAGTTCAGTCTTTAAAAACACAAAACTGACACAAAACCCTGAACCTGCTTTCCAGGAAAGCTAAATGGAATCAAAAGAAATCTTGGAAAAACACTTACTAAAAGAGAAGTAAGTTGCATTTGTCATTGAAGTTCCTTTACAAGCTGGTGCCATCATGTGGAATAAACTGTGCACTGCTGAGCTTTTAAAATAGCCTTGTTTCCTTCATCAAATTTGTGTTGTAGAGGCTTTACTTCTGGTTTTAAAAGCAAAGAGGAAAAAATTTTAAGCACTTTAGGAAAAAAGCACTTATGGAAAGCAAAAGAATTGTTGGTAAATGCCTTCTGGAAGGGTGAGTGTTGAAGTAACAAATGTTTTGAAGTATCTTTGCGAGGAGCAAATATAATCAATACTAATCTTGCATGGATTTAGTAGAGCTAAATATAATGACTAAATATAATATAGATGAGATAATTCTAAGGGATTTCTGTTCTGGTACAGTAGTTTTATTTAATCTTTATCATTTTAAGATTTCATCCTATGCATTTTCTTCCATAGTTCTTAATTTGCCATACCTGTACCTACACTTATATATTTTGATAATAGTGATTCATAATTCAGATGTATTAAATTACTTTGTTTTCTTTTCTCAAACCTGTTATGCCACATGGGGTTTTCGGGAGTCCTGTGACTCATCTGGTTTCAGTTCTTGCTGGGAACTTGCCAAAGCTTAGGATAAATGAGATTTTTTTAAATAACTGAGTTCTCAGAACTTGTTTTATATAAATATATATGCCCTTACAGTTTTACTTTTCATGTGGTTCCTCTAAACAAAAAAGTTTCATTCTGTGTTGGTAAATTTGTTTATCAATAATTCTGCAAGAACTGGAAAAGTACTTTCTCTTGCCTGAAGCTGGTATATTGGTTGTTTTAAAGCCTTATGTAGTTCCTAAGGAAAAAGTAAACCCGAAGAGAGGGAATATTTTGGTTTTCCACTGTATCCCTGGGCTGTTCTCTCAGGATTTGAGCTCAGTAAAGGGTAGTTTTCCATCCATGTAGTTTATTATCTCAGACCCTTCCCTTCTCAGGGCAGTCTGCCTGCCTTCACTCTTGGAATTAAGTCATTCTGTTGACCCTTCCCCTTAAGGTAAGAATTCAGGATATGGACAGTGGGATTGGACTGGGAAACTGCTACCAGAAGAGTGGGAACAGCAGTCACAGAAAGGCACAGGTCAAACCACCCTGGGAATTAAAGAAATGCCTCCTGTGCAGATAAAATATCTCAGGCCTGATTTAATTCAAAAGTTAAAATTTTTGAGCAGCAGTCACAAGACTCAGAGTGGTGAATGCAACAAAGCAGGGATTGGAATAATGGGTTTGAGTTGTGGGTTTTCTTTAAATACGTGAAATTGTGTATTTTGATGATGTAGCAAGTCAGAAATTTAAATTCCAGCAATTTGGCAAAAATCTTCAGACCCTGAACAGTGTTCTGGGTAACATCAGACAACGTGAGGAGCTGTGACAGCAGTGGCTGGGATCCTGTGGGAGGACGGTGCTCCTGCCTTTGGAGGCACAGGAATGATAAGTTTTCCACCCTTTTTTCCTGGCAGTGGCCCAAACCGTGGACATTACATCACCATTGTGAAGAGCCATGGCTTCTGGCTGCTCTTTGATGATGACATTGTAGAGGTGGGTGCTGTGCCAGAGCTCTGAAATGCTCTGATTTCAGCCCATCTTTTGGGCTCCTTTTTGTCTCTGATTTGCATTTTATTCCTCATTTAAGAGCTTCTCACATTTTTTTCCCAGTTTTCCCCAACAAATTGAAGTGTAGAAAAAATGTAAAAAAAAAAAAAAGGCTTTGGGAGACTCTGGTGAGGTCCTGAGATGATACAAATGTTTGGGCTCAAGCAAATTTTTCCTTAACTTTTCTGCTAACATACCTGTAAAGGCTGATATCCACAAGATTTATATATCCACATATTTCACATAATTGTTAAGCAAATATCAGGCAGTAGAACAAATGGCACAGTAGAGCTGCTTTTTGTAAAGATGGAAGTGTTTGCCTCTGAGACGTTGTGGTCAAGGTTGAGGCCTGATGGGAAGTTAAATAGGTGCAGGAAAAGCCTTGCTTGTGTTGAAATAAAAATGTGATAAATTCTCAGTTGTTTATTTTTATTAAATCCTTGCTGAGCTTTGAGCATCAGGGGTGACTTCCCAGTGATTTGGGCTGATTGTGTAACCATCAACAGTCGCCTGTCTCCCATTTTTGTATTTTTGGGGTTATTTTCCTCTGTTTCTGTCATGAGCCAAGTACAGAATTGTGTCACCTCATTCTGGAAATAGTATTCAATATTTTTAAATCTTCTCCATCCAGGAGAAATAAACTTTGAGGAAATAAACTTTGAATTTTAAAAGCAGATGTAAAGCAACCATCTTATTATTTGGTAATTGTTTTTTATGAGTCACTTCTGTGTTGTAGCTCAGCTTTTAGGACAAACCAGAATTTCTCTTTATCTGCAAACACTTGGCACTGTTATAGATATGCCAAAACATGGCTCTGAAATCTGTGCTGTCACTGGGCAGGAAATCCAAGGAGCTGTCACAAGCTGGAATGTAGTTCCTCCCTCATGGAAAAAATTACTTTTTTGTTCCCCTTTATGTTGCTTTTCTAACTTTAATGGTGCCTTTCTTTTTTACAAGCTCATCTTTTATAGAGTTTATCTAAAATGCTGTAAAAGTAAAGCTCTTTGGAGACTTTACATTCTAGATGTGGCCACCTAGAAAACCAGACTCCTGAGTACAGATATTGCAGCTGAAAGAGAGCACAGGAGGAAGGTTTTCCCCCTTAAATACAGTTCAAAAGCTTTATTGCATTTTTGGCAAGTGATAGGAATGACTAGTTCTGAACTGCCAATGGGAAGTAGTTTATCCTGATTACCCACTAAATGTCAGCAGTGGGGAAGGCATATTTATTTTTCTATTAGGATCTCATTGGAAGGCCAACTCTCAATTAAATGGGAGATAGATGATAATCAAACATTCTGCAGCATATGTGGAAAAGCATCAAATCCAGGAGGCAAAGCAGTCCAAGTGGGATCCTGTGCCAAGCAAAATGAATTGAGAAACCTGAGTTTCTCTGGCTAATCTCTGATCTCTGGCTAATTTAACATGTTGTTGTTATTAGAGCAATTAAGTGGTGCATCACAGGGACAATATTTACCTGACACGGGGAGGGAAAGGCTTCCATCCAGGGAGTTCTGCACGTGGAGGGAAAGGAAGGAAGGGCTGTATGTCCTTGCTGATTTGCAGGAAGCATTTGAATGCTGTGAATGGTCTTCAAGAACTGCCTTTGGTTTAGAGAGCCAGGATAGATGTTTGGAAGTGAGCAAAGGGTAGTTCAGCTCAGTTCATAGGAAACAACATCACTTTTAGTGCCAGGTGAGGCTGCAGAACCCTCAGAGTAGTTGTGAAACCCTCCACTGGTTGTTACTCTAAAGCTGCAGCTGGTGAAACTCTGCTGTCCACACTCTGTGGTCAGCTAAGGAGGGGAAGAATAGTCTGAATAATCCTCTTCCAGTTCCACTGTGCTCTCTGTGGATAGTGAAATTAAAGAAGGAAGCCAGTTTTGCTGTGATAAAACTAAATATATCTGTGGGATGAATTGATCCAGATCAAGTGTTTGCCTTGCATTCAGAATGAGTGGTGGAAATAGGCTTGATTGCATGGCAAGTTGGTTGGCACTTAAAATAAAACAGGAGTTGCTAATGTTTGAGTTGTCTGCTAAATATATTGCAAGGCCTGAAGGATGTTCTTGGTTTGTATTTCTGTTAAGTGTGGCTCTAACAGTCTGTAGTAACGTTCTGTTAATAAATGGTGTGAAAATGCACACCCTCGGTGGGATGTTTGCTTCTCTGCACTCCCTCAGTGGAGAAGAGAAAAACACAAAACACCTTGGAGGGTTTTTTCCCCCCCTCTCTCTTTTTTAAACAGAATGTGTTTAACAAAACTATTCAAGAGAGAATTTCTGCAGCTGCTGCACCTTCTGAAATCTCCCGTCTGTTCTTCTTGTGCTTGGACAGCCTGGGAAAGGCTGGGAGAGACTGGGAAAGGCTGGGCTCAGCTCACAGGTTGTTTGGCAGTGCCACTTAGAGCAACCAGTGCTGCTGAGGCTGCTGGGGATGCCAAAATCTGGTTAATGAGCAAGGATTTAACATTCTGCCCAACACATTCTGCAGCTGAGGAGGCTCCTGGGGGTGGCAGAGCAGAGTCCCTTTCTTTTAAGATGGAAACACAGGTTGGTCTCTGCTTCTCCCTCTCCCAGTCAGAGCAGGTGTTCAACCCACAGCTTCTTGTATTTGGAGCATTTCTTTGCTTCCTCAGCTTAATATAAATATAATATATAATATATAAATATAATATTTCTAGGGAAATATAATATATAAAGAGAAACTTTAGACTTGTCTCCCTTTAGGCCTCCACAACAAATTCAGGCTCCCTCAGCTTCTCATCTCTGTGGATTCAGAGTCCTGAACGTATTTTAGGATCTTTTTTTTTACAGGTATTTTAAAATCCTTCCCCCCCCCCCCCCCCTCCAGTGCAGTGCTGAGCAGCACAGGCCCCTGGGAGGGTTTTATTTCAGTGTTTTTCTCTCCCCTGACTGCAGATCCAACTCAGTAATCTGAAGCCAGTTGTTCTCAGGAACAGGATCAAGACATGTAGAACTTGCATTTTTGAAAGCCCTTTCAAATACCCTACAGGCCTTGATGGTTGGAAAGAAAAGCTACTTTTCTGCTCATAGTTCACAACTTAAAATATAAGCTGACCATTTAATTATATCAATACGGCAGATAATTAATTCTTCTTAGAACAAGCCTTGTGATAATATTCCTGTAGACTCTGTGCCAGCAGATCCTAAGGAAGGAAAGCTCTCTTATGGCCAGAAGATCATAATTAGGTGAGATCCACAGATTTCATGGTGTAATTACCAGTAGCACTTGCAGGACTTCTTTACTAAAGAGGGTGACAATAGCTTTAAAATCTGGAGTTATTTTAGCTGAATGTTAAATCTACTCAACGTGTACTGTACAAAAATCTTCTTTGCTGCTCAGTAACTGCTTTTTTTTTTTTTTTTCATTTACATTGCAAAATACTCAGGAAAGGTGACAGCAGTCTGAATGAGAAAACAAATATAAAAATGTCATGTAGTCTTTTAAGGATACTTTTTCCTGGATCCCTTGTTTTGTAGCCCAGCTTAAGAGTGCTTCCTTTCTCTGAGCTTTATTATTTCATCCTGGTTTCCATTTTTTCAGCAGTGAATGAGTTATGAAGTGGAGAACATGTTTGGTTGGATTCAGTGTCATTGTGTCAATACTGCTCAGCTTTCCAGCATCACCTCCAAGAACTGGAAATAACCCCTTGTCTGGGAAAGGGCTCCTTAGGGGGATGGTTTGACTGAAGCTAATTATAACTCTCATTAATTTTCAGAAAATTGATGCCCAGGCCATTGAAGAATTCTATGGGTTAACATCAGACATTTCCAAAAACTCAGAGTCTGGATACATCCTCTTCTACCAGTCACGAGACTGAGGCAAAAGGAACACGTGTCCAAGAAACAAAGGGATCAAGATATGTCCAAATGGAACATATTTGTGAGGGCAGGAGCAGTTCCTCGTTGTTGCTGTAGGGCCAGGACAGAGCCAGCAGGAGGAGGAAGGTCCCTCCCTGCCCTTTTTGGAGGATTAGTGCTGACTGCCATCACAAGAAGAGCTTTGTTCCAGTTTCCTTCCTGGGCTTTTTTCACGTGCTATCTTCCAAAATCCATGTTACCTCTACTTGAAACCTGGCTGCTTGTTTGTCTATGAATGGAAGAAGAGATTTAAAAGTAGCATTGTAGAATACTGACCATTTAATGTTGGCCTGAGGCTGTACCTTGGTTTCTGCCATCATGGTTTTTCTGTATTTTAGCAGAACGATTTCAATATTCAGTGTCAGCTGAAGGCATATTTTAGGATATGAACAGCAGCTGGTTGCTGGATATTTTTGGTGACTCAGACTTGAGAAGCAGTACAAAGCTAAGACATACTGGAAATGTCAAGTCTGTCATTTTTATAAAGCAAAGCAGACAAACCCCTCTCTCTGCAGCATTGTCAGCCTCCCGTTCTGCACTGTGTTGGGTTCAGAGAACACTAACAGCACTGCGCCTTTTGTATCCTGATTTGTACTCTCCTGTCTCTTCTGCAGAAGGGAGAGAGCTGTGTTCACCTCAGCCTTTGCTGTGTGTTGCTTTGGAAGCAGCAGTTTTGCCTCAAAGCCCTGACTCCAGGGGAGCAGAGCAGGTCCCTTTCGAGGAACATCTCTTGCTGTAGGAAGTTGAAGTTCCAGCATTTCTTGGAGCTGTTGCATAAACCAAAAGTGCCCTCATTCTGAACCAGAATCTGTTCCACATTTCAGTCAATTCCAAGCAAACTGGTGCATTTTGAATCTATGCTAATCCACAGAAACAGCACTAATTGGGAAGGGTTAACCAAGGGAAGCAGCATTTATGGAACTAATCCAAGTGTTCTTAGGCTTCAAGGGGATGAACAGGTAAGAAGGAAAACCAACCCACCAACCCAGACATTGCCTTGTAAGTGTTCCTTGTCATTTGTTGGTAATCTGGGAATCATAACACCCCCTAAAAATGCTTCTGATTGTTTTACCTCTCTAGGCCTTGCTTAACAGGAGGAATTGCTGGTCTTTGGAAGACTGAAACAAGCAATTCCCCATCATGTGTGTATATATTATAATCTCAAGGATAACTAGAAAGAAAAGACTGAGGAAGTTTGTAAGAATTCTCAGAAAATCTGGTGCAAGTTTCTTGTTGAGAAGCCCTGTTGCAGTGCCAAAGCTTGTCACAGCTGGCTCTAAATACCAGTGGGAATGAGTGTGTTCCTGACTCCACCTTGCTGGGTGACCCTTGTCCTGTGTGTGTGGCTGTTCCAGCACAGCCCCTCCTCTGTCCTCCAGCGCTTGTTGTTCTTGAGGATATTTAACTTATGCAATTCTGTGGCTTGTACAGGATATTCAGTGTTCTACCAAAACACTGTCCTCAGGAAAGCAGCATTTCACGTTTCTTGTGGTGACTTCGTGTGTCTGTTCCTTCCTCTCATGACCACAAATGTTTAGCAATTACCAATTAACTCCTGCCTTCAAACTGCAAATGAACCCTCACTGTGGTATTCCAGCTGGCTGCCGCTCTCGTTCTCCTGGCACATCTCCTCTTCCAGAAGATAAAATAGGGACACTGGGTTTTTTAATTATTTTTTATTATACAGAGTACTGTCATTTTGAGAGACACATTCGATAGCAGCAAACGTCCTTGTCATCTTGTTCCTATTGTGTGACAGTTGTTCCTGGCTAAGAGTCTTCTCCCCTTCTCCATACACAAGCTGTGAGTCCTCTCCTGGTGGTGCCACCAGGAGACTGTCATCACTAAGTCTTGCAAAAAAAAAAAAAAAAAAAAAAAAGAGAGAGCACTGAGTTAAAAATAATCTAAACAGTAAATACAAAAATTAATGTAGTACACTAGACATGTATTTTGTATATCTGGTGATACATTTTTACAAATGAAATACCTGACTGAGAGATAATATTGAAAGATATATACTATAGATTAAAAACTGTTAAAAGTGCACTTTTGCTACAGATTTATAAGGAGACTAAAAGGAGTTAAATGGGAAGAGAATGGTGTGATGTTGCTTCTGTAGAATAAATGACCCACCTCTCTCCAATAAAGGTCATGTATGATCAAATGCACATAGCTCAGAGGCTTTTCCTTGAATTCCAGTCTGAGGCAGAATTCCAATCCTTAACTTTTCCCACCTGGCAGAGGGATCCTGACCCTGCTGTGTCTGCACCCACAGAACCTGTGCAGAAGAGGTTTAAAGCAAGAACAGTGAAGAATTCAGTGCCGTGGGTTCTAACTGATGTGCTGGTGAAACAAGGGCCTCCACCATCCCGTCCCTGCTGTTCCTGCGTCCCTCCATCACCCCCACAGCTCTGCCCTTGCCTTTCCCTGGGAGCCCTGGTTTTCTCCCTCTTTCCCCCCTGTGTTGGTGTCCATGAGACTTTGTTGCAGTTATTATCTGACTGATCTGGAACAGAGACATTGAAAAGCAAAAATAGTACCGTGTGTTTGGAGCTTTCCAGGTTCATTGCAGGACAGGTCTTCATGTCTGTGTGGTTCACTGCAGTTCACCTTTACAGGGGGAAAACTGGATCAAAGGCTGCTCCCAGCAGTAGGAGTTTATGGGATTAGATGCAATAGAAGCAGTTGAGATTTTCAAATGGCAGCTGCTCTGCAAAACCTCACTTTAAATGCACAATACTGGCTGGTCCTTGCCCTGCTGGGTCACACATTAGCAATAAATGGAGCTAATTTTAACTCCAGTGAACGTGAGTCTGACTTTCAGACACTGCAGAAGGAACATCACCCAGAAAACTTTGAACAACCAAAGTCAGAAGGCCTGGAAGTGGTTTGAGCTTGGAGTGCCAGCAAGGCAGGACTGGTATTGGGACTTGGGCTGGGATTGTCACTGCAGGTGACTCCAGAACTCCAGACCATCCCATGGTTGTTATTTCTCTCTGAACACACCCTGTGTTCCTATCTTCCTGCTAATTCCACAGATCCTGCAGCGTGTTTGGGGAGAGGCCCTGCCCTCGCGTGTGCAGCAGCAGAGGTGATTTCTGGGCTGGTGTTTGTGCCTGGCATGTTCTGATTCCCAGCAGGAGCTTTTAGAGTCACTGTGCCGGCTCAGGTTAGTAGCTGTTTAAAACAAATCATATTTGATTGGTAAAATAGACTGACAGAGGCCCTTGAGACAAGTCGAACCTTCCCACTGTGGCCCTCGAAAGGAAACAATGCCCTGGAACATAATTCCCAACATGGAAAGTCCTGCCAGCATTTGCTCTTGGGGCACTAATTAACCTCGGGGCTGATTCTGTCTGCTCCCCTCCCCTCCTGCAAAGCCAGGCCTGGAGTTCGGGCCACCTCCCCATCCTGCTGCTCTGTTTGGTCCCAGAGAAGCAGCCAGGTAGGATGAGATGTCTGGGATGATAGCTCAGGGTGAGGAAGGGCAGGAATGGAGCAGTGGCAGGTGGATGGTGTGGAGGCATCTTGTCCTTGTATTCTGGAGACGAAGCTCTGCAAAGGGAAATGTTTGCTCCTTCACACATCTGGCTGTTGGTCAGAACTCCCCGGGCTTTGTGTCAGAATTAATGGCCTCAAAAAGTGACAGGGGGCAGTTTAGATGGATATTGGGAAGAAATTCTTCCCTGGGAGGGTGGGGAGGCCCTGACACAGGTTGTCCAGAGCTGTGGCTGCCCCTGGATCCCTGGAAGTGCCCAAGGCCAGGTTGGACGGGGCTTGGGGCAACCTGGGCTAGTGGAAGGTGTCCCTGCCCATGGCAGGGGGTGCAATGAGATGGGCTTTAAGGTCCTCTCCAGTCCCTTCCCTCCCTCATCTGGTGCATTTATGGACCTGGTGGGGTGTGAGGGGTGTTCCTGCACTGCCCCAGCAGGAGAGAGGAAGCCAGGAAAGGGAAGGATGAATTAATTACACAGCAGCATGTTTAATATTTGAGTTGCTAATAATGAGCACGTTTAGTGGCTGTCAGTTGTTCTGAAAGCTGCTAAATACAAATAACAAACACAAACACAGACCACTGCAGTGCTTCCCACGCTTCAACAATGTACTCAGCTCTCTTCCCCCTTCATCTTTGTCAGAAACAGAGCAGTCTTTGGGAATTTTGTCCAAAAACTACTAAAAACTGCGTAAGATTATGAAAATCTGACTTTAGGACCTTTTTGTAGGAGAATTGGTTACCGCCTGCAAAACTTTTCCTTGGAAGTGGAATGAGATTGGCCGGGCCTGCAGAGGTGGACCATGACACCTGGGGAGGGGAGGGTGGCCAGCCGTGTGTCCTGCTGGGGTCCCCAAAAGGAACGGGGCATGGAGGGAGAAGCAGGATTGCTGGGTGCTCTTCAGAGGCTGGGGTGGTGCCTGCTTCCCAAAGGAGATAAGAGTGAGCTGCCGGAGGTGGATCTGGAATGTGGGAGACAGTGGGAGTAGGAGCAGATGCTCTCCAAGCCCCACGTGGTGTGATCCCAGGAGCTGGAATCAGCTTGGATGGGGAGTGAAACACAGGGGCCTTGGAGAGGGGAACTTATAAAACCCCAGGAGGAGGAGTTGGACTGGAAGGGCAAAGCTCAAGAAGGGTTTGCGAAGACCTTAAAATATCAGAGCCCCCACAGTATCACTTCAGGTACGCTGGCCCAGATTTATTGAGAGCAAAATGCTTTTGGTGCTTCCCTGAGAAGCATCCTCTGCACCTGCCCCAGCGCAGGGCACACAGAGAGGCACGGGCTGCACTGCAGGTTGGGTCAAATAAACCAGAACCACTCAGGTATTCCCAGCTGGGCCTTCTCTGGGGATTCCCAAGGCACAGGCGGTGTGAAGGAGGGGCAGAAGGGCAAGGATGGGGGTTGAGAGCTGCAGCTGGAGTCAGCAATGTCCCCACATCCCCCCGGGTTCATCCCATTCTCCAGATGTTTGTATCTGGAGCGGAGCTGCTTTAGCAGAACATATTGGGTGAGGAATAGAGAGGTGGGAAGAGACATTTTCTGGGTTTTAAGGCCCGGAGCTGGAAGGGGCAGGACAACAGGAGCTCCAGCTGGAGTGACCCCGGGGCTGCTGCTGCCCACAGACCGTGGGCAGGGTGAGGGGGAGGGAAATGCAGCTGAAGCCGTTTGTTCTGGGCACCCCCGGGTGCAAACAGTGCAGAGAATAGCAGGGGGGTTCCAGCAGGAGCTGAGTAACTTTGTTAGTGATTAAGTGCCTTAATTAGCACTCTATTAAGTGCATTTGTTTCCTTCCCCGAGAAGCAACCGGCATTTGCTGCAACCAATCACTGCGGGGCTGCCGGGAGAAAACAGGGGCTGCTGTGGAGGGACGGGACGGCTCAGGGGAGGGGAATCACATCTGGCAGTGCTGCTGTGCAGGACCAGCTGTGTCCAGAGGCAGTTGCGAGCAGAGGGTTGGTATCTTAGAGGTCTTTGTGGGATAGACCCTCATCAAAGCCACAGGAAAGACGGCCAGGAACCTCACACTGATGACAACACAGATTTCAGACCTTGTGGGACCTCCTGGTCCCGACTCGTTTGCATCCCCTACGACTTGGGTCTGATGCTCCTTTTAGTGGTGGGTCATTTGAAATACTCTGGGTATTTTGGAAGCCTCAGCCCCACAGCTGTATCTTTGCAGGTCATGGGGACTCTGGGTGTTGATGGGGGGCTGTGGCAGGTGGGAATTCCCATCTCTGCATCCTGGACAGTCCCAGGGTGATGAAACCCACGTGAGTCCGACCCACACCTGTAGGTGCCCCTTCCCCATCATCTGGCCAAGCCAAGGTAAAACCCCTCAGTGCCAAAAGATTGCTCCCTTAGGAAACTGCTCCAGGTCCCTTTGCTTCCCCCCTCACACCAGCAAAGCCTCAGCTCCTCCCCAGCAAGGGCTCAGGGAGCTGCACAAGACAACACGTGGGGGTGATGGGGGAAAAGGGTTATTCTTGGTCATCCTTCCCATGGCCTCTTTTTTTTCACTTTTTTTGGGTTTTTTTAATGTTAAACTGTTCATTTTCAGATTTTGAGTCACAATATTTCTCCAAGCGAAAGGCCATGAGTTTGGAAAAAATCCAGTTTATTCCTTCAGAATTCTTTGCCATCATTTCAGCATAAAAGAACCAAACCAGGCTGGTACCTGGTGCTGATGGGGATGGAGGGATGGCCCCTGTGCCAAAGGTGCTCATCTCTTTCCAGAGCTTCCTGCCAGGTGCTCGGGGTGTCCCCTGAACGTGGGGACAAGAGTGGGTTGGTGAGGATCAGAGAGTGGGTTTTCAGGCCAAGAAAGGGCATTAAGGGATGTCTGAAGCCATCAGACAGACCAGAAATGGGAATATTTTTATTAACTTATCCCCAAGGATAAGTGAAGTACAGTGAAGAGTTGAACAGAGATTTTACCTTTGTTTGTCTGGTTTCTCATGGTACAAAACCAACCATAAACACAGGGTTACATTTTTGGGCCCTTTCAGTTTGTTGAGCTTCAGACCCAACAGAAGAGCCAAGCTTTGCTTTAGCCAAAGTTTTCCATTTATCCCCCAATGGGAGGACATGACTGGGTTTGGGAAAACCAATTTCTCTGCACTGTTCCCGCACAGCTGGAGCCAAGTGCTTCGGGAGCAATGACTGGGGGCAGGAGGGTTCCCGGGAGAGCTGGAACCGCATTATCTTCCACTAAAAATACCTCCAACAGAGCATCAAACCTCTCTGAAATAACCCCTGGGAGGGAGCAGGATCCAGCCCGGGCTCCCCGGGGCTGTGGCTGCGGGTCACAGCCGGAGGGCAGGAACGGGAGCGACAGGAGACACGGCCTTCCTGGAGCAACAGCAGCAGAGAGGGGAGAAACCCCCCGTGGGAAAGGGGCTGTGCTGGGAGGGAGTGGGAGAAAGAGCATCCTCTGTGTGGAGGTGCAAGAGATGGGGAGAACAGGAAGGGAAACCAGAAGGTTGGCAGGGGAGTGGGTTGATTTTTGGGTGGTCCCACTCATGGTTCTGAACATCTCGGTGGCTCCCACCGCCTGTCCATGGCTCTGAGATTCCCTGTGCTGGGAGGAGCCGTGGGTGTCCCGCGTGACTGGCAGGTGGCTCATCCCTCCTCGAGCACTGTCAAGATTTGTTCTGCTCTCTGAGGCTGCAAAGTGGCTCCTGAAGTTGGGGTTTTTTTTATTTCCCAGGGAGGAAAGCAAATACTCACTTTTCCCTGCACCTTCCCGGCGTGTTCAGCCATTTGCCAGTTAGTCATGTTCCCAGGAAAAGCAAAGGCTGCATGATGGTGAGTGACAGGTCTGAGGAACTGGCACTAATTATATCCTAGCACTGAAAAAAATAACACACCAGGCTGGTGAATCCTGCTGGGAGAGAGCCGGGTCCTCTGAGAGCTCCTGGGAGCAGCTGGGATGCCCCAAAGCCACCCTGTGGACCCACAGACCCCATCACCATGTCCTGGCTGTTCATGTCATGGAATCATCACAGGATCACAGAAAGGTTTGCGTTGGAAGTGACCTTAAGCCCATCTCATTTCAAACCCCCTGCCATGGGCAGGGACACCTTGCACTAGCCCAGGTTGCTCCAAGCCCCGTCCAGTCTGGCCTTGGACACTTTCAGGCATGGGAAGTCCCCTTGCTGTGGGCTTCATCCCATCCATTTCTACCCTGATTTTCCTCCAAGCCTGCTAGGAGGTGTTTAGGCAGGTTTTTCTTCCAGCTGCGTGTCTTTGATAGATTCAAACTCCTGCTCCCCCTACCAGGAGCCAACAATCCTTGGACTGGCACCAGCAGCTCTTGCTGTCCCACCACCACTCCAATGGTGTCACCTCTTCCTCAGGTGCTGGGAGAAGCTGGGCTTTTGCTTTTTCCCCTCTTGCCCTCACTGCAGCATCACTTGGGGCTCTCTAGGAGCTGCCCCAGAGCCCTGATGAGTCGGGAGGGATGGTCTGTCCAAGGAGTGTCCGGCAGCTGTTATGTATTAACTCTCTTATTTATCCTGCTGAGTGGGTTGCACTGCCCAGACACAGCCCTGCTCTCCTTGCCAGGGTGCCTGTGGTAGCCAAACACCCTGCTTTGGGGCCATTTCTCCCTCCTGCCCCCCGTGGCTGGGCAGCAGGGCCAAGGCCCAGCACCCACCCCACTGCAGGGCACAGGGAA